GGGCGGCGGACATTAATCGGAATTGCATGCCTTTTTGCTGACCGCGCTCGTGCCCATGAATGATTCTGCTCTCCTTTATTACATTTTATTCATTGGGAGCACATACAGTCAACTGCAACCCATCTCGCAAGGTAAAACGCGTAAAAATCACGAGTGATGCAATTTTCGTGGTGCAAAAGCTCGACATGCACTAAAAGATGCACGCTACCGTAACCCCAAATTCGGACGCCGAGTTTTTGAAATTTTTTTTTCAAGTGTTTTTCGTCCGTGTTTTTGTTGTTTTTCGTATTATTTTTCTTTGCACTGGATGATATCTACTACTGGGAGATGCGAAGAAGCGATTTATGAGCCAGAGGTTGCACAGAGACCGCAGGCGGTGTGACTGTCAGGGAGCGATTTTGTTTATGGTGTTCTTGAGGACTCTTCTTGCTTTTTTCTTCTTTGGGGATTTACTTATCAGCTACTGTTTCATAATTGAACGCAACTATTTATGACACTTTATCGTGGGAACTGTATTTAAGGTTACGAAAAAGCTCTGTGATTACTATCAAGTGTGCATGGGAAAAGATAACCTGTGACTACGAAAACGATTTGAATGACATTGCAGTAAAAAGAAGACACTTACATGAAGACCAACAACGTGACGAATAGCCATTGTTGAAAGAGGGGCATCTCTGGCATGTTCAGCCGCAACGGCACAGACGACATCGGAAAAGGAGCAGGTAACTGTTGAGTTTCGAATCAGCTGCAAGAAGAGTGATAAGAGTAAGAATAGAATATTCATGAATAAGCCATTGGTTCCAACGAAAGCGATAATTCGACAGAAATATTCTTGAAATTTCAGAACTAACCAAAAGGAAAAAGAACAACACGAGAAAAAGTGATGAAGGAAAGAAGACGATGAAAAATGTGATCGTCGCCCATTTAATGTCTCGACGGGGCACAGTGGCTGAATTCTGAAAGGGAATCAGGAATGATGTGTGCGTAAAGGCGAAATGATCTAAAGTGTCTATCCAAACCTTTGACGAGATTCGAATTACGTTCGATCTCGGACGGAACGGAGTAAAAACTGATCCCAGTGTGAGAAGTGGCAGCTCTACGAAGGTCGTCAAGAAAACCTGGATAAAATCGTTCAAGTGGTTGAAGCAAAGTTTATTTCAAGCCACTGATAGAAGATTTGCATCGCAAACGCAAAAAATACATCATTTCAATTCCACTAACAATAAAAAAATTTAGTTGGGTAGTGAGGAAAAGGTTCTCATTCTCATCCCTCTTGTTCCTTGTCGCAACCCTTAAAGCCAGTGGGCACTATGGCAAGAAACGCGCGAATGTTGCCACCCTCACTGGTGGAAGGGCTGCGATAGGGCGTTTGACTACATCCCACTTGGCCCTCAACCAGTGACGTTGGCAACAACATCCCGCCCCAGCTATGGAGCCCACTGCATATGGAACTGGTTCCTTCGGAACTATCCGAACATTTCGTGCCCTCCCACCCCCTCACCCCACGTCTCCCAGTCCGAGGAATGAAAGGGCCGTAACTAAAAAAATTAAGGAAAATCCAGTGTATAACACTAGAGTAGGTTTATTTAGCCTATAAAATATCGTCTTGCAGCACAAGCTACCGTAAAGGGCACCTATTCGCTGAAATGCATGAGGACAAATGTTGATAAAAGCCGAACAACTAAGGAACCTCAAGCGAGTAAACAACGAGCATTTTATTGGAATAAATCTACTCTGTACACTGTATCCATGTGTTCACCTTTTTGGGCGACACTGATACCAAACAGTCAATCTTAGAAGGGTTGAAGATTGAACAGAGAGCATTTTTGATTGTGAACTTGATGAATGGGCCCCACGTGCGCTAACGGCGTCACTGGCTCTGCCCCACCTTGAACCCTGACTCTTTCATTCTTGTGAGCCTCATAGACTGAATACGACGACAAATTACAGCCTTTTATCTTACCTGCTCAAAATCGAAAAGCAGAGGTAGAAATGATACAGCTGTAACTAGGAGGGAAATGGATAGCATAGTGGAGGCAAAAAAGTGGAACGCCATTGATCCCCTCACAGAAGCACAGCGGTGGCGGCAGGAGACGATGAGTTTTGGAAGGGCAAGAAGCTGAACCAGAATCAAATTGTTAGCTGTCAAGCGAGAAGATTATAACAACTGCAACACAGACTTGTTCGAATCTTAGCCGAAAATCACTGGCGATGCTCATGAGACTGTCGGTTGCATTTTTGACAGTCTGCCAATTCGGCCCAGAACTCATGGAACACTGCCAGTCTCCCACTGGCAGGACACTTATGGAAATGTCGGCCTGGAATTTCCAGAGTAAGGATTCTCAATAAAAGACAAAAATGAGCCTTACCTGAAGGAACACGCTGGTATTCACAATTGACAGAGATGAACCGACGGCCAACACCAACTCTCCGTATTCCTGATGAACATAGTCCAGACTACACGACAAAGTAGTTAAAATATTGGACTCACCTGCATTATCTCCAACATTTGAAGACTCGCCTCAGGCGTGCAATCAGTGATAAGCCCAACGAGAAGCGGTACATTGTCTACTTGCTCCAGATGCGGACGAACAGCTGCGATTCCAGTAGGCAGTTGCGCCTTGTTCGGTAGCACTGCCATCTGTAATATAGACCATTTTCACTTTAAATTCACCACTTTTCGAACCAAATTCACCACCACTCTCCAAATCAAATTCACCACACTTATTAGGCCGGGCAATTCATCAACCAGATCACGCCAGACACCACTGCGAGCCCCGCCCCGACGGCCACGCCTACTTGTCAGCGCGGACATAGATTTTCAAATCTTGTTTCATAACTTCTGCTTCTGTGACTTTTCTTGTCTTTTGTGTTTTCCCACAAACACTTTTACTGAAAACGACCGGCCATTCCGCTCCTTGGCACGCCCGCTTGCGCTTTTTGCGGAATTTTTATATTTTTCGAAAATACTTGCATTGCTGGACTTACACGTGAAGCCCGCCCACTGTGACAGGCTCCGCTCACTTTGAAGGAGCCACTTTCCAAAAATGGCGCAAGTCGGCAGTACAGAGTCTCGGCTGACATGCTAGGGTATTGCTGATCATTCGGAACAAACTTTGCCTGATTTTCTTGTTCCGAGTGACGAACGAGACCCTAGCATGCAAGCCAAGACTCTATACTGCCGATTGCACCATTTTTGGAAAAGTGGGCGAGCTTCCTTCAAAGTGAGCGGAGCCTCTCACAGTGGGCGGGCTTCACGTATAAGTTCAAAAACGCAAAAAATATTGGAAAAACATCAAAACTTCGCAAAAAGCGAAGTGGGCGTGGCCAAGGGGGCGGAGCCTAGATTGCAAACCCTTTAGAGAATGGGCGGAGTCGGCCATGTGTCGATGTCCGGTCGTTTTCAGTCAAAGTGTTTGTGGGAAACAGCAAAAGACAAGAAAAGTCACAGAAGCAGAAGTTATGAAACAAGATTTGAAAATCTATGTCCGCGCTGACAAGTAGGCGTGGCCGTCGGGGCGGGGCTCGCAGTGGTGTCTGGCGTGATCTGGTTGATGAATTGCCCGCCTAATAAGTGTGGTGGGTTTGATTTGGAAAGTGGTGGTGAATTTGGTTTAAAAGTGGTGAATTTAAAGTATGGTATAAATTGTCAACTACTCATTCTCCCATTTTACTTTCTTTGTCCCTTTTAGACTTCTGAGTCCCCGAAAAATGATTTGCAAGGAAGCGGCCTCTGGAATTTGGACGCTGTCACATCAAAAATTTTCCAACTCTTGGCAACTTAGGAGTTCCCATTGGAGTCGGTCAGATGTGTAACGAAATTATTGAGTGGTCAGTAGTGATTCGTTTGAGTCCAACCCAAAAACTTTTCTCAGTAAACACCAACATGTGGTCTGGTCTGGGAATATGGCCAGCCGTTCTGCAGTCACAACGGAGGAGCCCGACCCCCCCCCCTTCGCGAAAGCTTCATGAGCCGTGAAGTATCCGACCGGCCCCGATCTAAAATTGTCCCATATCCAACAGTTGCTCCTCTGCATGCGATTTTTGGACGCTCAAAGACAGCCCCGAGCAAATCGTAAGCGTCCTTCCCTATATAAGTAGTCT